ACTTAGGATATTTATGCGGATTAGTAAAAAAAAGTCCCAGTACAATCCAATTTACCTGTTATTGTGTTCCATTGCTCTTTTGTTTAAAAGATTAAGAAGTACTTATTAATTAAGAATTATCATCAACATATACATTGTTCAGTGTGACTGAATACCCTAGGGCTGAGGGTTCTTGTGAGTTTATGTTGCACTTCTTTTATTTTGATATATTTGTCATATTGTGTGATTATGTCCGATGTAAATCCCTCTTTTGCTTGTATTATATAATTTCGTGTTTTTTAGGTGCATACTTTACTTGCTTTTCCATGTGTTTGTGACGGATGCCACCGCTGAGGCATGATACTCTCACATTTTCACGAACACCTGGTATCATCGCTATTTGATAGTGATTCATAAACACATGCTCATGACATAGTGGGAATCGCATAATGGACTCTGCTTTTAGCAGATATTTCTTAAGAATATGGAAATTGTTTGGGTGCTTTGATTATAACGATTCAGAAGTATACGAACATTGTGTAATACTCCATTACCCTTATAAAGTATTAATGTGTCCAGTATGAACACGGATAACGGGTGATGGCTTAAGGCAATGCAAGTGATTTCTATTTAACGGTGCAGCTGGCACTCCTGCAGGGAGTTACCTATGCCAGCGACTGTCGTGAAGAACATATTTAACACTCTGTCGATGACATATTGATCAGATAAGAGACAGCGTGGCAGATTGATCCATTGGTATACTTTGTCGTCTTTACCAATCAGACGATGCTGCCCGTTGTACGGTGTGGCCTGCATCTCTTAAAGAATGCATCGAACGATGAGTGTGTACGAAGGGAGCGAGCTGCCCGTGCCGCATGCAGTCTACTCTCCACTAAGATACACTAACGGTAAGGAGTATTTTACACATGTAATGTGTGATGTTGTGACATGTTCGTTTCAGAACAGAACAGCAACAAAACCAACTTGTTATGTATTATTACTGTAGACCATAAGACCATGCTCAACGTGATGAAGGTGGTTACCAAGGAAAGGAGTAAATATAGTCGTGATTACTTTATTTCCTTTTTTAGATTAAAGAGCGTGAATAGAGTTTTTTTTCTTTATTTAATACACAGTCAATTATTATGCAAATAAATTCACTGAGAGTTATTGTGATAAAGGTCACGCACAAATTCCATTGAAACCTTTCCGCAAACCTTTTATAGAATCTATTTATTTCCAAATACTTTGTTTTGAGTCTCAAAGCTGTGCATTGTGTTCTGTGAGCCATTACGAGTTTATAAAATGGTAAAATGTGTTCCCAAATAACAATAGACAAAACAATACCATTAAATTGCAAAGTTTTGGACAAAACTCAAAACTGTACAATGTTCACTGGTCTGTGAGTCAAACAACAAACTTTGCTTTGCCATTGTTGATTGTAACATGTTCTTGCTTTGCCATTGTTGATTGTAACATGTTCTTGCTTTGCCATTGTTGATTGTAACATGTTCTTGCTTTGCCATTGTTGATTGTAACATGTTCTTGCTTTGCCATTGTTGATTGTAACATGTTCTTGCTTTGCCATTGTTGATTGTAACATGTTCTTGCTTTGCCATTGTTGATTGTAACATGTTCTTGCTTTGTCATTGTTGATTGTAACATGTTCTGGATTTGCATCGATCGTTTTTATTGTGAAAGACTTTCTCTTTGTCTTAACCTTTGGACACATCATTGTCTGCACAGTGGAAACTGATTCTAAACAATGGGAGACTGCCGGAGGATAAATACCACACATTAGTTTACAATTGTGTATTGCAATACATTTTCACGATCTTCTAGAACTGACAATGTGAGCATGCGGTTAATCTAATTAGTAATTGAAAGAAGACACTGTATTACTGTTTTTAAAAACAAAAACAACAGCTTTTAATTTAATTACCACCAGAAATGCGTAAAATGTGATTCACTGTGGCAATGTACAAACTGCCTAAATATTTCATATTCTTTTAATCCTACCATTTTCATTTATTGGGAAATGAAATTAAACGACATGATTGTAAGTTTGGTTTTCAATATTGTAGTACATGTATGGAATCAAGTCACAAAAACGCAACTGCTACAGGAAAGCATGCTTTCCATGCAGAAGTTGACCTTTATGCAAGCCCCTCGCATTTCACTACCCAAGAATGGGTATAAAAACATGTGCGTTAACGGGTTTCCATATGCATTGTTCAGCATCGTGCTGACAACAACCACTCAGAAAAACAACAAAATTACGCAATTATTCGACATTACGAAATGTCACGCCTGTCCGAAAATGAGCGTCTGCGATCCATTGGTATGCTTGAAGCAGGATCGAGTCAACGTGATGTTGCAAGACAATTTAACGTCCAAAGAAACACCATTTGGTGTTTGGGGCAACGTTGGCAACAGACGAATGCAGTCAGAGACCATCCTCGGAGTGGCAGGTCACGCGTAACCAATAATCGACACGACAACTTGATTCGAACAACACGCCTACGAAATCGAGTCCAGCCAGCAACAGTGACTGCAAGAAGCATCCCTTGCCTACAACGAATATCTCCACAAACCGTACGTCGTCGCCTCAGATGTCAGGGATTGTCGCCAGAAGACCCGCCAGACGTCCCATTTTGACAGGAAACCACCGTCAAGCACGTCTACAGTGGTACTGACAGCGTCTACGCTGGACGGCCATGCAGTGGGGACAAGTTCTATTCACTGACGAGTCTCGTTTTCACCTCAGCCACAGCGATGGACGGATTCGAGTGTACCGACGTCGAGGTGAACGTTACGCCAATCATTTAGTCATGGAAGAAGATCGGCTCGAGGGCGGCAGCGTTATAGTATGGGGTGGGATTCCAGCAAGACAGAGGACCCGTTTGATAGTGGTAGAGGGAAATCTCAATAGACAGCGCTACCGCGACGAGATCATCGGCTCTGTTGTTCTACCGTTTTTGCGTCGTCATGGCCCAGGCATTACCTTTCAACATGACAACGCCCGGCCTCACATTGCTAGACTTGTTCAGGATTCTCTTCAACAAAACAACGTGAATGTCACCCCCTGGCCGGCTCGCTCCCCTGATCTCTAACCAATCGAGCACATGTGGGATTAGATGGATCGGCGCCTTCCACGATAATCACGTGTTCCACAGACACATCAGGAACTTCGAAACATGCTCCAGCAGATATGGACAGATATTCCACAGGAATTTGTGCGACGCCTGGTCCATTCCATGAGACGAAGATGTGTTGCTCGCATCGCAACCAGAGGTGGACACACACGCCATTGATTTGTAAATTGACATTTTGGCATGTTCGTGTTTTTTATGAAATCACGCATTTTCTGAAGTCGGTATGGCAAATTAAACCATTTGAACACTTACAGAGTCTTTTATCTGTTGCAACCAAAATTGTTTCAGATTTGGTAAAAAACATAACTTTGCATTAAATCTTATTCTATGTCACAGGAACTTTTGTTGTTCAGTATATTATAAAAGTACATATTTTTAGTCAATTTGTAAAATGACTGAAATATTTAGAGGCTTTGCATTTTCTTAAGTGGGAATTTCAGTCATTTTACACATTGACTGTAACATATAATTCAACAGAAAATATTTGCGCGTTGCCATTTTCTGAAAGATAATAAACTACTAGTATTCAAAAACAAAGTTTGTCATCATTGCAATTGTATATACTCTTAAATAGTAGGCGAATGTTAATACATAGAAACAAGAACAAAGATAAGTGTTGGCGACAAACATTCTATGCAAATAACTGAACACCCAAAACCTATCCTATAATTTATACCTTTATCCAGCAGTAGTGCCACACAGGTGCGTGGAGCGTCATTCCTTGATGTCGACACCTTCAAGGAACGTTGGTTATTCTCTGTGGACAATTATTTCCGTCAATCGTCATTGTTTGTGAATGTACTAGCCCTGCGGCTTGTGTAACGCGCGGGGCGTCTACGGGTATTGATATGATGAACAGTGGCAAAAGTCAACGCGCGGGGCGTCTACGGGTATTGATATGATGAACAGTGGCAGAAGTCAGCCTGCAGTGGCCAATACGTCCAATCTTTAGCAGCCTTTGGAACAGGCACCAACAGACCCAAAATGTTGACGATCGACCCCGTTCAGTGCGTCTCAGGTCAACGTCAAAAGTACAGGATCGCTTGATCCGAAACCGGGTTTACGAAATCGACCTCAAACGGCGAATCAAATTTTCACCAGACCACAGGAGTATGAGTCAGACATGTCTGAAGCATGATAGGGAGACGCGTGCGTCAAGGTCATACTGTCATGTCAGCTGAACTTGGTCAGGCTCTGCAAGAGGAGTGGGACAGACTCCGTCAAATCGACATTGGGAGACACTGGGAGACACATTGGGAGACACACTGGATGTTGGACAAATCGTGGCGGTATTACGCACTACTGATCCAAAAGCGTTGAAATTTCCCATCTTACCCCTATCTTATTATCATTCTCAATTCAAACTTTGGCATCAGAAAATGTTGTAACTCAATGTTGAGTATTTGGGTAAGAAGGTGATGTGAAGGTGAAGACCTATTCATCATTGCATTTATCACAAGAGATACTAAAAACATTCTTCATATTACAAATTGATGGAATTTTGAAAGCAATGGTTCTTTTACATTTGGTAATTTGTAACTTCCAAATTGGTTGCTCGATAGGTCTTGCTCCTAATTGTCTGGTTCAGTTGGTCGCTTAAGACTCAAGTTTGCCCCTGACGTATCTAACACGTCTTATCAACATCACGCCTAGGCATGTCACATTAATAGAGGCTGTTCAGTATACATGTACCTATATACATTATATATTGCGCTCACCATACGACATAAACATAGCTTATATCTCCTATGGCTGTTAACAAGTTTATTTTTATACGTTCAGCTACTTGCACAGTGAACGTTGAAAGTTGTTGCAGTAAACTGCTAAAGTATAAAGCTATATTTGTTCTTATAGTTTTTTCTATAGTTTCAGGGATTCCGGAATAATGCCTTGACCAGTGCATATATCTGCGCATGACGAGTCAGCTTTATCATGCGCTTGTCTCTCATCCTCATCTTGGCTGATCCATGGCTGTGGACGACACTGTGCAGTAAGTATAAAGCTGATCCATGGTTGTGGACGACACTATGCAATAAGTATAAAGCTGATCCATGGCTGTGGACGACACTGTGCAGTAAGTATAAAGCTGATCCATGGCTGTGGACGACACTGTGAAGTAAGTATAAAGCTGATCCATGGCTGTGGACGACACTGTGCAGTAAGTATAAAGCTGATCCATGGCTGTGGACGACACTGTGCAGTAAGTATAAAGCTGATCCATTGCTGTGGACGACACTGTGTAGTAAGTATAAAGCTGATCCATGGCTGTGGACGACACTATGCAGTAAGTATAAAGCTGATCCATGGCTGTGGACGACACTGTGCAGTAAGTATAAAGCTGATCCATGGCTGTGGACGACACTGTGCAGTAAGTATAAAGCTGATCCATGGCTGTGAACGACACTGTGCAGTAAGTATAAAGCTGATCCATGGCTGTGGACGACACTATGCAGTAAGTATAAAACTGATCCATGGCTGTGGACGACACTTTGCAGTAAGTATAAAGCTGATCCATGGCTGTGGACGACACTGTGCAGTAAGTATAAACCTGATCTATGGCTGTGAACGACACTATGCAGTAAGTATAAAGCTGATCCATGGCTGTGGACGACACTGTGCAGTAAGTATAAACCTGATCTATGGCTGTGAACGACACTATGCAGTAAGTATAAAGCTGATCCATGGCTGTGGACGACACTGTGCAGTAAGTATAAAGCTGTTTCGAGAAATCATTTTCGAGAAATATACTCGTGATCATGTAACTATCACACTCACTTCTCTATCCCCATTAAACGCTAATAGAAATACACGTTAGGCTGTAAAACACAATCCCAGACATGTTATGACCTAAACATGTCAAGATTATGGTCATGGTACGTGTTTAAGTTTGTATTTAGGATCTAAACACATTTGTTTACAGTGTAATAAAATACCAACGTCCTACCCAGCATGGGAAAAATAAAACAACCACATGAAATCCGAACGTTACGCTGTAGAATGTGTTTAAACTATAAATACATACAGGAGATGTTTAGATCTAAACATGCTTAGGAATGGGTTTTAATTCTAAGGGGAATACACATTTGGCGTGTTCTATCAAAACACGTTCAGGATCTAAGCACTGAGCTATCGTCAAACAGCCTAAAAACCAACTGATCAAGTACCCCCCTAATCCAAACATGTTTGGAATGAACAAAATAAAATTAAAACATGTATAAACATGATTAGAATTTTAAAATGTTTACGAGAAAATGCATATCATTGTGTATTATCCTAATAAACTAAACATGTTTAAATCAAGTACATGTCATTTGGCATAAAGTCAAATAGGGATAAGATGTTTTATATGCATTGATATTAGATGTACACATCATAGTCACGGGCACTTCATTGTAACAAATACCACAAGGACTTACAACGACCTTGATACAAAATTAACATAGGAAAATTGATATTGGTGACATCAACAATATCCGTAGCACAGGTGGCAGTGTGAAGGGCAAATCAACATAAATGTTTTAAAAGTGTTGTGTTCATAAATGTGTTGTTGCTGTATGACTCTTCGTACTTCCATTATACAGGAAGCGATAGCTGGCAAAGGGAGTATTTATCACATTCCTAAACATGTTTACACCCCAAAAATGTCCATATTGTGTGCGAGTAACGTGCTCAGGTTTGTGTTTAGGATCTAAACACATTTATACCGCGTACCGACTGCACATTTATTTGAAACTACGACAGCTTAGATGCTTTACTTCGACGGTATCATTAGATAAATTCTGACCATGTTTATATGTGTTTGGGTTCTAAACATGTTTAGATTATGGGGATGTTGAGTTAAGGTGTTGTTTAGGCTGAGACGATAGCTCATTTTTTATGTTTCGACCCTAAACCTGTTTAGGTAGAACACACCAAATATCTATTCCGATTCAGATTCAAACGCATTCCTAATTAAACATGTCTTGTCATTTACATTCAAAACACAATTTTACAATGAAAGGGTTTGAATATAAATAATAGCGATAAACCTCGTTCTATATTCATAAGAAATCTCTTCTAAAAGCAGAGTCCATTGTAGGATTCCGACTATGTTATAAACATGTGTTTTAGAATCACTATCAAAAAGTGATGGCACCAGGATCTCTCGGAGAGGTGAGCGTATCTTTCCCGACCGGAGGCATACGTCAAAATCACATGTAAAGGCAAGTCAATTGTTCACAAGAACAAACATGCAAAATTAAAGAATTCCAGGGGACATAATTTTGCATCATCTTCAAATTTGGAAATGTCCTCCACATGTTTACCATAACAAGTTTTTACAACGCTGTAAACCTGATCAAACAACGTTTGTGAAAGAGTCGTACAATGCTCTTTGAAATCTTCGTAGAAAAGCATGCTCAATTGTATCTCAAAAGATGTGAAATGTAGACACCGCGGGGCTGTCGGAATATTGCCTGACAGTGTCCACGCGTATGTTGAGGGGGAAATTAGCTCAGAGTGAAGACGAAAAATATGTTGAGTCCAAACTTCTTTAGTCGGCAATAAAACAAACAAATACAATTACTAATAGAAATATGTCGGGCGGAGACTCCAACTCAACTACCACAAGTCAAGTCCAGCAAGCAGGCGTATCCTACTCGCGGCTGTACATACAGGTGCTGTCGGAATACCAGACTAACTAACAGTAAAGATGTAAACATATATATATATATACACTATTAGACAACAATGGACAGACGAAGAGACAATGGCGTTGACCTGGACATGGGACTTACAAACATGTGTCCCAGGGGAAAATGGATTAAGGCAATAAATGTCTTAATGTGAAATGTGTTAGACAATGACACAGTTGGATTACATCATGTCAAATAGTCCAGATTTCCTAAACGATTTGTAACTTAACCCTGTACAAGCGGGAAGTAGTTCAGAAACTGTAATTCTTAAAAGATAATACGTCGCCCAAACATAGTGCTATTAAGTCACTCTGTGACAACAGCAGGGGAACATTGACGGACATAGCGGACGACGTTCTTGTGACAGCAGTACTAGCAGCTCAGTACATCCTGCTGCACATATTAGAACATCTGCTGATATGTCCTGTGAGAAATGCATCACTGAAGCATGGATGCGTTCGTCAATGCTTGAACTTATTCAAGCTGATGGCATGTTTACATATTATTAAAGAATCATCATTGCATAAAGGGAATCTTCTCCAAGGAAAAGAATTATCGTAATTGCAGGCTACAATAAAGAAGGCATACGCCTAGTGGGACTGGTACTTATACTGTCGTAATTCCCTAGGGTTATTGTTAAGTTGCAAACATCAATGGTTGACTATAATTTCTGTTGGCCAGTCATGTGTGGCTTGTTCACAATGGCCTCGTGAATTGATGATACCTCATGTAATCCCTGAAAGTGACTTATTTGTGAGACAGTCAGCCGTGATCCAGTAAGCGTGTGTGCTGTCAGTAACATTTCATTCCCCGTATTTTGCAGACAGCGTTTACACATGATGTTCATGCCCAGTGAACCAGTTCTGAATAAAGTCTTCCATAGAGGACAATCTCTACATACCCACAGATATTAGGTGTATAATCTTGCTCCTTGTGCCAAGAGTTTGACTACTCCTGAGCCTCTTGATGTACGCTGGTGTCGTAGGGCCTACACTATAATGCTAAATGTCGTAATTCTATCACCATGTGTAGGAATTTGCTTCAAGAAACTGTTGAGCAACATTTGTTAAAGAGACCATGTTCTCCGATGCAATAGCAGAGGAGGCGCAAGTTGGGGTAAGCTTGCAGTCTCTGTAGTTATGGACAGATGGCATGCTGTTCAGTTAGCTTATTATTGTCTATGGCGGTTCAGAACCTTACCCCTTTGTGACACAGCAGTACCTTACCCCTTTGTGACACAGCATACAGGTGCGTGGAGATGTATGAAGTATACACGGGGTATCTATTCCTGCATGAACTGTAACGTATAACGGTTTGGCCAAAGTGACAATGGGGATAAGAAATAGGTCTTCAGGAATATGTAGTATATAATCTAAATTACAGATAAATATGTGACCCACGTTATTAAACCTCAAACAGAGCATGTTACTTTCAGACAGACAAATGTAACGGACAACCCTCCAAACAGGGCATGTCTGGCAAAAATACGATAGTCAAAACCAACCCAGTTTCAATTACTTCACACTGGAGTTTCTTCCAAAAGACTCAAGAACTACATATTTGCCATTCTTTCCCGTTTCAACTCCTGGCATTGGACTCACAGCTTACTATTCCTCGTAATACTGGAGACTACACCGTGTCCCTCCGCCACCATCACACAATCTATCCTGCGCGATATACGTGTACGTGGTCTATGCTTCAGATGTCGGCGGCCAGGAGGAGGAGTACGAGTCTGGACGGACCTACGTCCTCAACCCCCTCAGGCTGCCCTGGGGGGACGCGGCAGATGCATGCCGGGACATGGGGGGAGATCTGGCAATCATCAGGAGCATATCCACTCTGCCCACCATACAGCTGGAAGGGTGAGTTTGTAAACATGCAAAGTTCATGCAGTATTATATATTCCCTCTGCCCACCATACAGCTGGAAGGGTGAGTTTGTAAACATGCATAGTTCATGCAGTATTATATATTCCCTCTGCCCACCATACAGCTGGAAGGGTGAGTTTGTAAACATGCATAGTTCATGCAGTATTATATATTCCCTCTGCCCACCATACAGCTGGAAGGGTGAGTTTGTAAACATGCATAGTTCAGGCAGTATTATATATTCCCTCTGCCCACCATACAGCTAGAAGGGTGAGTTTGTAAACATGCATAGTTCAGGCAGTATTATATATTCCCTCTGCCCACC